TTATGTCATCAAGTTTCTCTTTTAATATATATAAAGATATGTTTAAATAGAATAGTCATGCATGTTGGTATGGATGCGGCATGCCCGGCCGGTTGGTAAGTTAGTGGCATTGTACGTATGCAACCCGAGTTCGAATCCCACCCACGTTTTTTTTTGGCAGGCCGTAGCTAATCGGTAGCTAAATCGTCGCTAAACCGGTCCGTAGCTAATCCGTAGCAAATTCCGAAGCTGGGCCGTAGCAAATTGGTAGCTATTGTTTTTAATTAAAATCCATTCTATTTCCTTATATCCCACGAATTCCCCCCTCCCCTTCACCCCTTCAGTCAGCGAACAGATCCAGAAAAGAAAGAACCAAACTTCTCCCCCCCCCCCCCTCTCGTTCCAACAATCACCGGCGATTCTTCCCGCTCTCACCGTTGCCGTCGCCGGCTTTCTTCTCCGGTGCACTTCCCTTCTCTCTCTCGGCCTTTTGCTCGATTCTTCCCTAAAAGGTAAAACCCTAGTGTTTTTTTTTTTTTTTTTTTTTTTTGAAATTACACTATGTATACAATTTAGATGCTTTATTCATTGATAATGCTAATAAGTTTTGTTGAATGTGATGTCGAATTTAAGGATTTAGATTTAATTTGGTTGAATATTTGGTTAATTTCATAGCTTGGTTGAATATATGGTTAATTTCAATTTGTTAAAAATGTTAATTTTGTTGAAATGTGATATATAAAAAATGTTGTGAACTTTAATTTGTTAAAAATGTTAATTTTGTTGAAATGTGATATATAAAAAATGTTGTAAACTTTAATTTGTTAAAAATGTTAATTTTGTTGAAATGTTAGGCTAATTTTATAAATTTGTTAAAAATGTTTGATTAAATGGGATGTTATATATGTATCATTAGTTATATATGTGTATTATGTATGTGTATTGTGTTAATAATTTTTATGGGCTTTTTATGTATCATTAGTTATATATATTAGATTAAATGAGATGTTACACTATTACTTCATGTTTAGTTTAAAGTTTTAACATTTTTTATATCTAAATGTAGTTTTAGATCGAACTGTTGTCTAATAGAGAATGGATGTACACAAAGAGACTCGATAATCGTACCAATGAACTAGAAATATAAATTACAAGTATTAATCATAAATTATTTGTTGAAAACAAGATTTTTAAATAAATCAAATTGCTTAATAAACATTTTATAAAAATGAATGTTTTTATATAAAATATAGGAGGGAAGTTTATAAAGTTTAAAATTTAGGAGAGAGGAGGCCAAAATGCATGCAAAAACCGGCCATCACCTCTCCCCATGCCCTCTCTGTTCCCCAAAACACAATCATTAAGCTTAAACCCTTACTCCACCTCTTCCCTCTTCACTCTCTCACTTCACTCTCTTCACACACTTCACTCTCTTCTTCCCTCTCTCTAAACTCACGAAAATCCTCTCATTTCTCTGCAAAATTTCGAGATTGTGAAGCCCTTGAAGTGTTCTTACTTCTCTCAAGGTCAAAACCAAGGTGAACAACAACATCTTCTTCCATAGTTTCATGGTTAAACCTCTTTTTCTTCTTAGTCTTCTCTACTTTTCGGATTCTATGCCTTTCCATGGCTAGAAATATTTATTCTCCCCTTGTGGTTTGTAGATTCTCACCATAACACAATGCATGTGTTAGAGATGGTGAAAATCCGGGATCAAACCCATGCAAGGAGTGGAAAAGATGCACATATGATCATGTGACATCAAAACCTAATATTTCATGTTCTTCTCCATTTCTTTTGTGTTCATGCATGAAAAAAGCATTTAAACCATTTCTAGTACATCTTGGATGCTCATTCATTCCATGCATGTGTTAGAAATCGGGCCTTACCAAAGACATGCATGATGATCTTGTTGAAATACCCTAATAATGCACACAAGCAAACATGCAATCTGCCAGATTACTTTGTTCCACTTTGAACAGTCATAACTCAGTCATTTCTAAACCAAATCATGATATTTTTTTTGTATTGGTTAGTTCCACGAGTTAACTTTCAAACCCAACTGGTCTCACTGTAAAATATTAAATATCCGATTTTTAGCAGATTTTACAAAAAGGTTGCGCATACAGCTCTTTTTCTGTGATCACTATTTTTATCTTGCTTAAACAATGGCTTTAAACCCAACCATAAATCTGAGGAAAAATACCTTAGAAACTTAACATATCTAGTGAATTATGGTTGAAATTTCGTGGCTTAAAACCTCACTGAATGGGCTACACAAATTCATGAACTTCAGCCACATTTACACTTCATGCATTATTGCATGCAACTTTTCTTAAATTGTTTGAAATCATTACCCTGATTTCTCTTCTGAATAAATTTTTTTACATTTTTCCTTTTGAAAGCCCTTGCATGCATGAGATAATCTGGAAAATTTCAAGAGCTTTTATTATTTCTTTGATTTATTAGAATTATTGCTAAAACCAAGGGCATAAATCATATAAAATACTTCCAGAGGTCAATAAATCCTAAATAAATTCATGGATGATCCTTATGGGGAATAATGACCCCTCACCAAATTTCAGCAATTTTTGTTACTGTTTCATATGATTTCTAATTTTCTTTTATTTAGGACATGATAAATTACAAAACCACTTTATAGGATGTGAAAATTGTATCTAACAATTTTTGCATACCTTACCTGTGATGGGTGACTCCAGAAAATAATTTCAAGATTTTCCATCATGTTTTACTATTTTTCCCAATTTTTGGTAATTATAATGGTCTAAAAATGGGAGAAATAGTTCTGATTATCCAAAATTCATGAAAATTTACCAGGGATATAATATTATAGAGTAGGAGGTTACATAAAAATTTTGAATATTTTTCTTTACTGTAAACTATTTTTCTCCTATTTTCTAAAGTTAATTGCACTAAAATACACTTAAATATACATAAATACCCAAAACCAGTTTATACATTATGAAAACCACTTTTGATATTTTTCCCAGGATATTTATACTGTAAATGATGTTACAAAAATTTATGGTAATTTATTTTAACTGTTTAATATTATTTCTTTAATTAATGACTATTTAAAGGAATAAAGCAAGGAAAAATAGAAATACCCACTGAAAAATATCTTTTATATTTTTCCCAGCCTATTTATGTATAATAAAAATTAAATAAAAAGTTTGGGTAATTTTGGAAACTGTTTTCTATTTATTTCAATTTTTATTGAAATAAATGCTCAAAAATCATAAAATATAATTAAACAGCTTGGAAATCCATTTTTATAATTTTCCCAGCTTAGTATTGTGTAATAACAGTTAAATAAAAAGTTTGAGAATTTTTATCCCTCGAATGCTATTTTCGTGAATTTATGTTGTAATAAGGACTTAAAAATTTGGAAAGTTTATATTCCAAGGTTGTAATTAATCGCCCGATATATAGAATTTCATTACTTCAGAAAAAGTGTAACTAATTGATATAAAATCCAATACTAAAACATAAATTGGCATTTCCCTATATGTAGAGTTTAGTATATTAGCATTAGATATCGACATGGAAACTCACTAGTGCGTGTGTTTGATGTCGTAGGATCCCGGTAGTAAGACGTTGGTGCATCTCGAAGTACCGCTTGTGTCTACACAAAACATCGTGAGTATTCACGCACTCCCCTATTTTCGGTTTTTATGTTTTGGGGTGGAAAAGCATGTCCAGAAAAACTACTGTTTGCATGTTGTATTTAAATTGAATTGTATCAAACATGATTGCTATTGTATTGCTATGTTTCTTTATGTATGTCTATGCAACACGGAACATGAGGACTTATCGTACTAAGGCCCTTCCCTTATCTCTAACCATTAACTCTTTGAGCCAATGGTCGTTATGGATAGCGCTATTAGGAATTGACAACTCCTCACTCGCCCGAATCGCTGGAGTGCATGATACCATATTCATCTATGGAACGATAAGCATAGATCTCGATAGGGCTTCAGTCATAGGTTTGGTTGAGACTCATTGTTTGCTCATACACATACAAACTCGTTTCTCGTTATAGCAATAAACTTGTATTCATTAATAGCAATCAACTTGTTTATCATTGAAGCAATGTACTTGTATTTACGAAAAGCCTTATTGTACGCTCGATTTTTATAAACTTGTGATACTCACCAACTATTTTCATAGTTGACGCTCGTTTTACATGCTTTTCAGGAAGTAATTAGTAAGTGGATGTAAAGATTCATCATCATAGAGCATGTTGCATCGTGTTGAAGCTATTATGAAGCTATATTTTGAACAATGTTATTTTGAAAAACTTGTATTTTGTTTCTTTTGAAGCTATGGGTTGTAAACTTTTAAATACTGCTATGGTGATGTATCTTTATCTTTTGCATTGAAACCGTTATCGCTGTCATACCTTGCGTTTCCGCTTTAGCGGGGTGTGACACATTATGTTAATTTGTTTTTGGATTTTGCTTATGCGAACGCAACAAACATCCAACATATCATTAGGAAGGGGTGGAAGTTTTTGAAATTAGATGTCCGTGTGCGAAATGCAAAAATATTTATTACCTTCCGAGAGAATTAGTTTTTAGCCATCTTGTTAACCGAGGCTTCATGATTGGTTATACACAATGGTATTTACATGGAGAAAAATATCCAACACTAGAGATAGGTCAATGTTCAAACCCAATTTCACCTCAACACGTGGGTCCAAGTTCGAATATTGAAACAATTCAACACATTAATAATGATTTTAGTGATTATCATAGATATGAGGAGATGGTTATCGATAGCATGCACCAACCTGAGGCTTCGTATTATCAACAAACACCACAACACCCAAATCCTGAATATGGATCATCCGTGGCCCCGATTTAGTGATATTCCCAATGAGGCCCTTTTGCAGATGTTTTCGCGTTTCAAGGCAATATATTAAATATAAATTATTGTATCTTATACTCATTTGTTTTTACTTTGTATTTTTAGATTTACTTTTTATTTTTTTACAGACCATGTACAGGTGGAATTCACTAGAGAATAGTAACATATTCGATGCCTTCAAGTGTGTCCTTAAGGATAGATACAAGGATCGAATGAAGCGTATCAGGATTAAATCTGGGGAAATGGCACGAAATGATGGGAAACCCGTCCCCTTAGGTCATTGTACCTACTACGAAGGGATGCATGACTACTGCCCTGGGCGCGTACCGGAGAATGTGTGGCGACGTTTGTGTGATGTAATGGATATGATACTTTATTATCTATTTTGTTGAATTTTAATCTCTTATTGTATTAGTATCCTTATATTTTTTTTTCTTTTCACAGCATTGGTCGACAGATAAGTGGAGAAAGAATTCAAAAATTGCTCAGCAGAACCGCAAAGTCGCAGATGCTAATGGGTCGACAGCTAGGCACACCGCGGGTAGTATAGGATTTGACGAGCACCGTAACAACTTAGTAAGTATCATAATTATAAATTTTATTATCTTATTTTTTTAACACTAACTACATCAACTATACTTTGTATTTTTATGTAGGAAAAGGTATTGGGTAAACCACCCACACAATTTGATGTTTTCATGAAGACACATGGTACAGCTAAGGCGAAAAAAAGATATTTTGCGGGAGATCATGAAAATCTCGAATATTGCTCACTAACTGCCAAAGAAGCACAAGTAACTTATCTTTTATCATTTATTATCTATTTTGATGTCTTAGTATTTTTGTACATGACAATGATACTTTTTTGGTAATTTGTAGGAGATGTATCTACAGGAGATGGCCAAAAAACACGGAGAAGACTCTTCAAACCATAAAGATGATGCGAGGGTATGGGAGGAAATTCAACTTAGGAGAAAAGGAAAGAAGAAGGGTGATATCTATGGCATAGGAGCATCAGATATACATTTTGTGATTACTGGGACACCGTCTTCCCAATCCACCCAATCCACCCAATCGGATAGTACACAACAAGAGGTATGTTGTTATGGTTTAAACGTTAATTAGTATGTTGACAATATTGATATAATAAACTAAAGTACATTGCTAATATTGTTTAACTATTGCATTGTGTTGCCATTTTTTTAGGTTGATAGGTTGCGTGCACAAGTTTCTACCATGGAACAACAACAACAACAAATGAAAGAACAAATGGAAAGGGTTATGAGGATGGTGAATATGTCTGGAAATCAACCCCGTGCTCCCCCTGATAATCCACCTGAGGACAATTGATAAGTATTTTGGAACAATTTAGTTTGTAAACATTTGATATTGTTTGTTTTGTTTAGTGCTTACTTTTGTAAGATATTTTGGATAATGGATTGGAATGAGTCAAACTTGGTATGACGGACGTTTTTTGGTGTATTTTATATGGTATTTGGGACAAATGTGAATTTAATGTGGTATTTGACAAAAAATTGGAAATTTTTAATTTTTTTTTTTTTTAAATAAAACGAAGTTAGCTACGGAATCGCTACGGATTTCCGTAGCTATTTACTTGCGTAGCGATTCCGTAGCTGTTTTGTTCCGTAGCTATTATGTAGCTATTTTGTTCCGTAGCTATTCCGTAGCTATTTGTAGCCGTAGCTATTCCGTAGCTATTTTCTTCCGTAGCTATATAGTGCCGTAACTATTCCGTAGGAAATCCGTAGCTATTTAATTCCGTAGCTATTCCGTAGCTATAGTAGCTACGAAATATTCTGTAGCTATTCCGTAGTGATTTTGTAGCTAATCCGTAGCTATAATTTAGCCACGGGCCATTATGCTACAGTCAATTTTCCGTAGCAATTTCGTAGCTATCCGCTTATAGCTACGGAATAGCTACGGATTGTACCGTAGCTATTGCACCAATTTTCTAGTAGTGATACGAATAAGAAAGACATAAATGATAATGCTATTTCATTTTCCTTATCACCTTACACCACTTTTACTTATCAATAAAACATATTCTCCATATTTTAAAGTAAAACTAAAAGAATATATGGGCGTGTCTTAAGACTTAAATTATATAATTAAAATATACATAAGTACATATTACTAAATATAATTTATAAACTAAAAACTTATATATATATATATATATATATATATATATAGAGAGAGAGAGAGAGAGAAAGAGAGAGAGATTATAATGAGAACGTTGGAAGGTTGAGAACAATTATATCTAAGAGGTTATAATGAGGTTATAATGAGAACGCAAGAATAACTATGAGTCAATCATTTTCTAAGGGGCAATATAGAAATTTTACTGTAGATTAATGAAATACTCAACTTAATTAAATGATAACAGGGGCGTAGGTAGTAACATTGAAGGTAGGTCTTAGGACCTGCCTTTTTTTTTATTTTATATATGAAGTATTTATAAAAAAAAAAATAAGGACCCACCTTATTTTTTATAAAAGACCTATCTTTGACATCAAAGCCCGTTTTTTTTTATATCAATGTCCATATCTTTTGCCCATTATCTATTAAGCTGTAGCCCAATCCAATTGATCAATTGTTTTATTTTTATTATAAAAAAAAAAAAGGAAAAGACGCAGCGCGGCAGCGTCGCTGTTTGGAAAATTGGAATCGAATCGGTCGTCCCCATCTTCCCCTCCGGCGGTAGCAGCCTATCGGCTATTGCCTAACGGAAATTTCTGATCGGCCACAGGGCACAGCCGCACACAGCATCACTCATCGATCAACTGCTATTTGTTGTTCAGGTTTGAGGAATTGAGGTTTGTATTACAATACAATATTAGAAATCAGAATTCTTTGCTTTTTCTTATTCAAAATCAAAACCCTTTGTTTGATTAGTGATTGTATATTTGTATGATTTCATGATTTATATTACATTATCACTAAATCAGTGATTAGATTGCAGAATTCTTAATTTGTTTTTGTTAAGTCTTAACACTTAACAGTTTTGAGAATTCTTTGTGTATAATGTATTTGATATAAAAACATTGTTTGTTTGCTATTGTCTTGATTTTTATGTTATAATGTTATATTGTTATTGACTTATTGTCTTGACTTTGTGATTTGTCTATTAGTCTATTTGATAACAAAACTACAAAAGATTGATAAATGATAAATTGATAATGGTTATTACTTATTAGTTTGGTACTTTTTATAACATTCAATTTCATAATTCAATTTCAGAATAAAGCATCAACATTCAAGAATGTCTTTGCATAAGTTTTATAAAAAGAAAGAAGATGATGAACAACAACATAAGTATAAGAAGGTTGATTTAAACGCACTACCTGTTGATCCATTTGAACGACCAAGTATAGATTTTTATCATGTAAACCAAAGAGATGAAATTAGAAGAGCATACTTGCAAAAAGGACCTTTCCAACCTCTCAATCATAAGTTTCCACCACGTGATTTTGGAGGTAAACCTCGAAGATTTATTCAATCTTGGTTTGATGATAATAAATATTGGTTAGAATATAGTATAAAAGAAGATGCTGCATTTTGTTTGTGTTGTTATCTATTTAAATCAAGTATACCAAATCAAGGTGGATCAGATCATTTTGTGAAATCTAGATTTAAAGCATGGAATAGGAAATCAGGAATAGATAAACACAAAGAAGGAAATCCACACACTATTGCTGTCCAAAAGTGTCAAAGTTTGATGAACCAAAGACAATCCATCACGTCTGCTTTTGAGAAACAAACTACTTTACAAGAAAAAGAATATCGTACTCGTTTGAATGCTTCAATTGACTGTGTTAGGTTCCTACTCCGACAAGGTTTAGCATTTCGTGGTCATAACGAGAAGGAAGACTCAGATAATAAAGGTAATTTTCTTGAACTATTACAGTGGTTAGCCGATCGATGTGATGTTGTAGATCGTGTTGTGTTAAAGAATGCCCCAAAAAATGCTCAAATGAAATGCGGTGAAATCCAGAAAGATATTGTGCAAGCATGTTCAGATGTAATTTTAAATGTTATTATGGGAGAGCTTGGAAATGATTTTTTTTCAATTTTAGTAGACGAGTCACGTGATGTGTCATGTAAAGAACAAATGGCATTGGTTTTGCGGTTTGTCAATAGAAAAGGTGAAGTTGTAGAAAGGTTTGTTGGCCTTAGAAATGTTAATGACACTTCAGCTTTGTCACTAAAGGCTACCATTTATGATATGCTTTCAAAACAAAATTTGAGTCCTAGTAGGATTAGAGGACAAGGCTATGATGGTGCTAGTAATATGAGTGGTGCATTCAATGGATTGAAGACTTTGATTATGAATGAAACAAAATCTGCACACTTTGTTCATTGTTTTGCTCACCAATTACAGTTAGCCTTAGTGTTTGTTGCAAAGAATCACAAGACGGTTAATGATTTTTTTGATGTGGTTTCTCGGCTGTTAAATATTATTGGATCTTCTTACAAACGACGAGCTAAGTTAAGAAAAACAAGCAGATAAAGTTATGGAAGCATTAGCTGAGGTATGGTTTATTTTCATTTGTTTATGCTAATTATTCGACTAATTAATTTTTATGTGGTTTATTTTAGGTGAGCTTGAGAGTGGTACTGGTTTGAATCAAGAAGTCGGTATTAAACGACCGTCTGATACTCGATGGGGTTCTCATTTTGCATCTTTATTAAATATCCAAACCATATATGCTTCCATTTGTGATGTACTTGAAGACCTTGGTGAATTTGATAGTGATAGTGATCGTAGAGCTGAAGCAATTCGCATCTTAAAGTGGTTAAAATCGTTTGATTTTGTGTTTTGTCTACATTTGATGATTGATATCTTGGGAGTGACAGATCATTTAAATACAATACTACAAAGAAAAGACCAAGATATCATAAATGCCATGAATCAAGTTAGTAGTTCAAAAAAAGCAATTCAAGAAATTAGGGATATAGGATGGGAACCACTTTTAGAGAAAGTTACGTTGTTTTGTGCTAAAAACAAAGTTAAAGTTGTGGATTTGGAAGATGAATATTTTAATGGATACAGTCGTCGCAAAGGTTCACAGGTTAGTAATGTTTCTTATTACCAACTACCACATTGATTTATAAATTTATTGTGTTTTATCGTTAGTTATATATATATATATATATATATATATATATATATATATATATATATACATATATATGTATATATTATTTTTAACGTTAATAACTTGCACCATTATCAAGTTGATGTATTTAAGGAGGTGATTGATATGCAACTTCAAGAGCTAAACCATCGCTTTAATGAAGCAAACACGAATTTACTTCTTTGTATTGCTTGTTTGTGCCCAAGTGAATCTTTCAAAGCCTTTGATTTAGAAAAAATAATGAAAATGGCTTCACTTTATCCGGAAGAGTTTCCAACAGAATACGATCTTCGAGTTCTTGAAGTGGAACTTGGAAATTACATTAAAGATGTACGACAAGATGAACGATTTCATGATTTGAAGAGTATTGGAGACCTTGCCAAAAAAATGGTTGAAGAAAAGAAGCATATAATATTTCCTAAGATTTACCTTCTTATGAAACTTGCATTGATCTTACCCGTAGCAACAGCAAGTGTAGAACGCGCATTTTCAGCAATGAAGTTGATAAAGACTGATATACGCAACAAAATGAGTGATCAATTTTTGAGTGATAGTTTAGTGTCGTATATTGAAAAAAATGTTTTAAAAGGTATTAGTAACGATGCAATTGTGACAATGTTTCAAGCTATAAGACCTCATAGGGTTCAATTGTAAGAATTTTATTATAACTATTGAACTGATGTTTAAATAATTTGGTTATACAACCCGACCCATCATTGCTAGTATTTTTTACACTTTCATTTTTTTTGTCTTATTTACATAAGGAACCACGTGGTTTTTGGTTCTAGATTCGCCACTGAATGATAACCTCCTTTAATGTTGCAGTCATTTATATCAACTTACATTTTTTATTAATACAAAACAATTAAATTGAATAAATTCTATCTAAAAATATATTAAAACTATGACTTTTTTTCTATCCATTGAAATTCAAATCATATTATATCTAAATCACTTGATTTTTTCATATACGGAGAAAACCTACTTTTGTATAATATAAATATGATAATTGGTTTTTATTCATTGGTAAATGATATCCATGACTGCTATATTCATAAATAAATATGTCAAAGTTGGATTCATATATTTATGAATATATCCGTAATCGTAAAGGAATAAGTTTGTTGTATTTTTTAATACAGTTGAAATCATAATTAAATAAAAGGCAATATAGAAAAGAAATAAACTACA